GGCACAGAGTTTGTGTTTTGATATAATTTAATACGAGTGTCTCAAAAACGCTTGGTGGTCTATAAAGAAGAGCATGGTCTGGCCTATTAGAATACATTTTGGTTCCTCAGTCCTGCGTTCAAACCGAATACTGGCAGTCCGGTCGTTACATCGATAGGTCTACCATCGATGGAGCATGCAATAGCTCTGATGATTACATGTTGAAACTCAGCACCATCATTGCGTTGACGGTAATAGTCTTCCTCAGTAAACTCGAGTCTCCCAGCTCAGGGTCCTTAAATGCAACAGTGGTTCGCAAAAACTCTGCAGGTGATTGGACCCACGTTAACAGAGCTAAAAAGGACCAGACGTCACCGTCTAAGCTGGACATCACAAGTGTTGTGCGGAAGTCAACTGGTGATTTGATCGCTCAGTCTACCCCCAAGAATGTCCGCCCAGTTATCAAAAAGCCTAGGATTCGGAAACGCGTTTCGACCTCCGAACAACAAGGTGTTGAATCTGAACGCACCGGAAAACCTGGGAAAAAAATAACGGTCCGTGATGACTCTCTCGTAATCATGAACCTCAAAGACAGCCCTGACCTTCCTCTGAGTTTGCAGGACAAAAATGACAGGATGCTCTGGGGTGAATTGAACAAAGAGCTTGCACTTACTAGAATAGAGCCTTTGACGGTCACACGGCTCACTCGGGGAAAGAAATCTAAGCATCAAAATCACCGGAGGGTAACTTCGTGTAACACTTAAGAATGCTACCGACATAGAGGATGTCCTGCTAGCCAGTCATTTACCGAAATTCGATGGGAACGTATGAATACTGCCCGACATACCGTATTCTGAGCGCAATTTCATCCAGGACATCCCTAAAGAATCTCGCTAGTTTTTCCGCGGAAGAAATATAGTTGTGCAAGGTGTACCGGAAAACATGGACCCTAGTCAATCAAACTCTGATATTCGGGAATGGAAATTCATCAAACAGTCCTTGAGGCTCAAGAACATACTGACTCAACATGTGACGAGACTAGCCAAAAAGGACGGTGATTCTAGACCCCGACTAATGAGGATTACTTTCCCATCCTTCCATATGGCGGCTGCAGCTCTGGAAGCATTTCGTGCCAACAGACGTCGGTTGCCAACTAAGATCCATATGCACCCGGACAGGCCATATGACGACAGGATCAACATAAAGGCAAGTTGGAGCTGACCAGTCCGTTTGTGGACTGTCTTGAAGATAAAAAACGTGTAAAGGACAGGGCCTACCAATTCGGGAAAACTTATATAGGTAGGCTACCTGTCCACTAACTTGAGGCTCATACAGACAAATAGGAAGAAGCTCACGCGTTTCAAATTGAAAGCATTAACTGCTTATACATGAACGCCGCGAGTCTACCAAACAAAATGGATGAGCTACGTGAACCTACCAATGCTATTAAAGTTCATCTGATAAGAATATCTGAAACGTGGATACCTGCTCAGTTTCCGGACCGGGAGCTAGCAATACCTGGGATGTCTCTGTTTCGCAACGACAGAAAAGCGGAAATCGGGGGTGGAGTGGCCGTATACATACGACCTGACTTGGAGGTACACCAAGTTCACAATCATGAGTTTAACAATCTTGAGGAATCCATATGGTGGTCTGTAAGAATATCTACTACTTCGAGGTGCCTAGTCGGTGTCATATATAGGAATCCCACTGCCGACATCGAGTATGACATTCTTATGCTGGAAGGTCTATCCCGCTCCACGCGTCTCGGTTTCACTCATATCCTGATTCTAGGGGACTTCAATCTCCCTAGAGTCAACTTCGCGGAACATACGTATATTGGGGGTGAAAATTCAATTAAAGCTCGGCAACTCGTTGAAGGAACAGTCAGACACCGTCACACTTAGACCGTGTTTTTACAAACGAAGAATTTCTAGTTGACAACCTCTCAATTCTGGCTCCTCTGTGGAAGAGCGATCACGTCGTTATAGCCTTCAGTTTTGTCAGCAAAACTGAGCTAAGATATCCCGACAACAACAGGCACCGGAATTTCAAACGGTTGAATGCGTCAGCTCTACAGGACTATCTACAACAGGTGGATTGGGTTGTTCACTCTCAAATTGATATGGATGCTCATCAGGAATTCTTACTGCACACGCCCTTATGTGCTACAAGGCAGTCAGTTCCTCAAAAGGTCCTCAAAAGCCGCAAGCAACCTAAAATCATCAAGAAACTCACTCTTCGTTTGTTAAGCCGTAAAAAGCACTGTTGGGCAGAATACAAACGAACTGACAACAACAGCGCGTACAGGCAATATAAACATATAAGGAACATATGAACGAAGGTTATAAGAGAAGCAGGCTTCTGTACCAGTTAAGGCTTATGGATAGATTTATTTTCGATCCGAAAAGCTTATTCCGTTACAACTGCTAGGTCCTAACGGCCCGACCGATAACCCCGGCGCCGCCGCCGCAAACCTTCTGGCTGAGCAGTACTCCCGGACATTTCAACCGATCCACATCAACTATACTGATGACAGCCTCATCTACAACTGCACAGGACTTTCCGTAGTGAACCTAAGCGCTGACTTGGTGTTCCGAAAACTGCAGCATCTAAGAACAGACACTTCTTCTGGACTAGTTATGGTCCATACCGCCATACTGAGGGAAGCAGCTTCAATCCTGGCAACACCACTTAGCGTGATGTACTCATACTCGCTAAGCCGAGGAAAACTACCGGAAAATTGGAAGCTGACTCATATCACACCAATTTTCAAAGGAGGTCGACGCGGCGAACCTTCAAGTTACCGACCGGTGGCTCTTCTCTCTATACCTTCAAAAATCATGGAGTCCTTGATATACGATTGTATACATGACTACTTACTATTCTTAAATGTCTTCTCACCCCAGCAGCGTGGTTTCAGGAAGGGTCACTCCTATATGACCAACCTGCTGACTGCGGTGGACAGATGGACAAGCATCCTTGATCACAAGGGGAAAGTGGATATCATATACCTTGATTTCTCAAAAGCTTTTGATAGGGTTAACCATACATGTCTTATCAATAAGCTTAGACAATTGGGTATCAAACCACCTTTAATTGATTGTCTCAGTTCATATCTGACAAATCGATACTTTAAGGTCAGGGTAAACTTCAATTTATCACAGGCTATGGAATGTCCTAGTGAGGTCCCTCAGGGCTCAGCACTAGGATCTCTTCTCTTCTTGATTTACATAAATGATCATCCTCAACAGGTAACGTCAGACATATTGCTCTTTGCCGATGACGTGAAACTTTGGAGAGGGATACGCAACCAAGACGATATACAGGCACTTCAGGAGAATCTGACTCGACTTCAAAGTTGGGCAGATGATAACGGACTTACCTTTAACACTTCAAGGTGCAAAGTAGTCCATCTGTGACACGTCGCAGATTACAGTTACAACTTAGAAAACTTCTCTCTAGTAGTATCCCGAGTCGAAAAAAATTTAGGAGTCCTGATTCACTACGACCTAAAGTTTCACGCTAACTGTGACAGAAATGACTTTCGAGCAAACCTTGCACTGGTCAGTTTGACGGGAGAACCTTCCACATAATCTTCAGTAGTTTCATTCGTCCCCATTTAGAGTACGGAAACATGGTATTCCGTCCTACACTCCAAAAGGATAAGGACACCCTGGAGCGTATCCGACGGCGAACCTCGAAATCAGTTCAGGGACTCAAATTTAAACCTTTCGATGAGTGCCTCCAATCACTCGACCTTTACCCATTAGAGTATAGGCGTCTTGGAGGCGACCTTCTAATGGCTCACAGTATCCTCAGCACTTCTGGACATCCCAATACTAACCCAAGGGGTAACACCCAGAAATTGGAGATACAACATAGCAGAACGGACTGCAGGCACAACTTCTACTCCCTAAGAGTTGTCAAATGCTTGGATTCGCTGCCGGCTGAGCTAGTTCAAGCAACTTCCCAGGAGTCCTTTAAGAGGCGACTTGATCTATTCTTAAGGGCTAAGGATAGTATCTTACTATGATTTACCAATTACTTGTTTTCTCTTTTATCGTTAATATACCTATGTTCCTGCCTAGAGGCATTGGTGATCCCTTGCTACTAGACACGGAAGCCTGTTAAGTGAAAGCTTCTTCTAATCCGTCCACAACCATTTGAACCACTTAAATAGCATTCAGGATTGCCACAACGATGTTTTGCTTGCGCCATAAAATCGTTTAGTCATCCTATATAGAGAACAATAACGAAAACTGATCTCCAGAATGTGTCTTTTAAGGATTTATAGGGGACAGACACTGAATACACAAAAAGCAGAGGTTGTAAATAACAACAATCCTACTTCAGTAGTTACGAAAAGACCTTGACATCTTTGGATACAAGCAGTACCGAAAGATATACTCGATAACGATGAAGATGTCACAGGTATTCAGAGTTTGACAACACTTTTTGATATGAAGCGTACCCATCAAGTGAAATCAAAAGACAGAAGTGAGGAGGTTCGAAGATATATTTGATAGGCAATCAATATATCGAGGATCGTCTGATCTAATCTGGCTAGCCATTGCAGTAGATGTTGAGCACGGCGTTCCCACACGTGATCTGGTGCCTTCAGCTAGATGAGTCTACTAAAACTGTGGTCAGCATCCAATGTCAAAAACTTACAGAGCTATTTATTTTGGGGATTTATTTACCGCTACAAGGAAAAAAATACCACCGCTCTTTTTTGTATCTGCGCTCAAAAAGTATATATGATAATTTGTGATCCTCTTGGAGATTAATTTAACCGAAATAACTTCAACTAAAGCAAAATCAGTAGTCATGATTAAGAGTTAAGCGAGCAATACCATAAAACATACTCAGAGGAATAATAACACTGTTCTTTATAAACAGCGCGCTCATAGTGTGCATATTTCTTTTACTCTTCTTTACATGTAGTAGTGAATTGTTCATTCAATCATTCAAATGATTACTGTCGAGTTCACTACACTACTTTACAACCAACTATAGTTGAATTTTGAACGGAGCCCAATTCAAACGCAGACAATGGTGGGGTTTTAAGATATGAGGCCACAGATAAACCATAAATCCAATGTTTTGGATATCAAATCGGAACTTTTTGACCTCTTACGACAACGAAAAAGCTTGACAGTAAATAAAATTTCTATCACGAATATAAAATGGAATATTAGGAGACACTGGGGGCATTAGAACGTCAAATATATCTGTTTGAAGGCAGCTATCTTGATGACACGGCTCCTTATGGGAACATTATCAAGGGTTGGGATAGATATTTGATGTCCAGCTCAAACTCTTTGGTCACTGGTAACTCCAACTTGTCATTTTCCAGAACTGTTGGGGACAAACGCGCTCGGAAATTCCGAGATTCCGATCGTCTTTTCTCGAGGTCTTCAGTCACATCAGTTTCAGTAAGACTAATTCCTAACGAACTTTCGTTCTAGTCTTTAAATTCACAGAATGAAAATGATTCAGGCAAGTGTGCTTGGTGTATATACATCGAATTCTAACATATGAAAATGTGGTGTCTTTGTAAGCTGTAATGCTTTGAAACTGCATAATGAGGTCAACATTTTTTTGTTCATGAATGACTATTTTTCAACTCGCTTTTCGGTATTCGAATGCTTTTGCAGTCTGGTCCCGAGCTCCCAATTTTGGGGAAAATTGGACCCATTTTCGGGAAATTTTGGGGAAGCCGCTATGGTAAACTTTGGGGAAATTGCACAAAAACCCCAATATTTCTCATTAACTTCGGTCGAGGTCATTCGACTTTGGGGATTTCCCCAAACACTGGTGAAGGTCATTTGACTTCGAGAGTTTCCCCAAAGTTGGTAGCTCGGGGTTAACTTAAATAAGTCTAGTTTTTCCTACCTACATAGGGACTTCTAAAACAGTATTCAGGAGTTCATGTCACACTTGAACAAAGATTCAGAGAAATTGTTCTATGCCTTTAAGAGATTTCTTATGGATCGGCTTTATGTTAAATAATTAGACATCAGCTGATACGTTCTTTCGGTTAAAACGCGACTATTGACCGTGTTATTATTTTTCACATTGGTTTTCAACAGTCTGTTGATTAGTAACGATGTTTAAGTTGCTGTAATTAGCTTCCTTATAAGTTGTAAGCTTTTTACAACGTCTTGAAAAGATATTTTGTGTTCAATACTACTCCTGTTATTTTCTCTCAACATTCTCATCGTTCAGTTCTTCCACAGTCATTGGTTCCATAATTATTTTAAATCCTTTACTATTTATTACTTGATCCAAATATTCAAAGTGATATGTTTTTGAAACTTATTGGTTCTTTTTCTAGTCCATGTGATCTGTTATTTAGCTTTTCTCATTAACCCTAATTTCGTATTATACGACACATTGAATTAAACGTATGTAGTGTTCAAAAATTTTGTCACTCATCTTAGTTAATAATAATGTACTTAGAGGGCTAGTTTACATTATGATTTACATCCATAATCTTTTTAGCGATTTATTTACGAAATCTTCACTTCGCATTCAAGTCCCTTTCCATTGTTGACTGACCTTGTATCAAGGTAAATATGATTACTGTGACGATAGTATGAATAAAAGTTCCTCTTGTTTCACTTTGAACGCTACAGCGATTAATAAGTAACACTACGTTCTGGTCATTTTGCAAGTTTCTCAAAGTAAATGTTGAGCAGTTAAATTAATTAATATTACTGTTTGGTTTACTCCCCAAGTATCCAAATAATTTTGCGTTCTAAATTTTCTAGGAGTTCCTCCCAATCTACCTCCAGTCAATCAGCTTATTTCAGGACATTACAACCAACCTTCTCCTAATTTCATGTCCAATGGGTTTTCAGGGAATCAGTTCTCCCAAATTGGCAAGAGTTTTTCAGGTTTCAGTAACGCTTCACAATCTGGTAAAAAGAAAAAATCTAGACAGCGATAGACTACTGAAATGACTCATAAATTGGTTTCAGAAATCTGTATGATATGGACAGATGAATACCAGTATTGTAAAACTATATGAATTCCTCTGCTGTTTTAAGTACAGTTACACTCAAAAATTACATTTTTGCTAGTATTCATTTGTTTGGTTACATTTTGTAAAAGTATCCCATCAACATTGATATCTTTCCAACCTTTATAGTCAACCAATATGCGTCAAACCACTATGAATTTTTTAAAGAACAGCCTTGGGATTAACTGTAGTCGGGTGGGTATCACATTTTGTTATAGACATCATTTTTTCATTGTCTACACCAGTAAAGTAAGCCAAACTTGAACAAAGATGAACGCCTAAACTTTCTTGTTTTGGTTAGTAAGTGAAGTTATGTCGTTCTCCAGGTTGTGATAATTTCCAACTGCTCAACCTTTCTCATACTTGTTCACCATGGCTTTACAGTAGGTTAGAGTCTTTATTTTTCTATTAAGGTTTCAGACGTGCTCCAATCAAAATGAATTGCATATGAAGTAGCTGCTTGTAAAGATAATTTTGAGCATACTTGCGATACACACAAACACAAAACTCATATTCCAGACGATATATGACTCTAAATGGACTAAACATTATTACAATTTACGACTTGGGTCACTTATGTTTAATCTTGAGTTTTCATTAGTATTATACATTTTACAAGTGTAGACATCCTGTTCAAGGTATTTAGACTTACGTAACAGGCACGAGGACCAAATAAAATGGGAAAGTTTTGTTAAGAGAATAGTCGGTCAGTCAAATGCAACATGGTACACATATATATATCTGTTCAAGCTTTCACACCTGAGATAAATTTTTTAGCGAAACCCATAGTGGAGGTAGTGATAGAAAAGACTAGGTATCGAAAGTCCGAATCAAGAAAACAACTAGTGAAATAAAAGGATTATGAAAAGTTTAGGAACTAGAAGATATAGAGTGGATTCACTTACGTCATCGCAAATGACTTCTCACCATTAAGCATTATAATGACGCGGACCCCAAGCACTTGCAAGTCCGATTGTCACTGACCTCAAACTGGTGCTACGCTTTGGTTTGGGCGTCCCTAGCTATCTTCCAAGAAATTTAAAATGAAGAATCCAGTTTGTCAAGCTAATTTGAAATATCGTAGAATAACAGTTAAAATTGGTTGCCGGCTTGATAAATAATAAGCAACCGTGTGACAAAATTTATCGTTATCTTTGGTGATTGTAAAATTGTGGTATATAAACATCGAAACACCAAGTAAATGTACGTAGGTAAACAAAAACAAGACAAGTCGGTGTACTTCGAAGCTTTTTTTATAGAGGGTTTACAACAACAATGGTAACAGTAGTTCGCACAAGAGGTAAAATGATAAAATACAAAGTGAATTTGTTTCATCAACAATATACAGACTTGTCTTTAAGTCTGGTTTTCGGATCAGAAGATAACTACCTCATAAGTGGATGAAATATTGTCCAATCAGTTTGCATTTAGTTAGGTTGGGAGATTCATAATGATCATACAACTATCTGCCACCTCGGGGTTTAAATAAATTTCAGACAATAGGGGTTAATAGACAGAATTTTCTAGATACTCTTGATTGCTATCCAGGTTTAGCGGCTAGATTATTTGAGACATTAATTTAACTTGGGAAACTGAATTGATGCCATCATAATACAGATCACTGATCGTTCCAGTTTACAAGGATGGAAATCCTCTTGTAATAAGCATAGAGGAATGTACTTGTCTAACAGTTTTTCAGATCTCCAGTTAACATGCGTCACTTAAGCATAGATCGGAAAAAATGTCTTACGATGTTTATCACCATGCATTTACTGGTTTATGCCAGTAGAAGTTACTGTCATAAAAAACGTACGTCAACTAAATAAAGGCAAGAATGAATAACTACAGATAAGATTATGAGGTTAACAGATGATTTACTAGGTCCGACTGCCATTGTCATTACATTTCGCAAGATAATTCCGAGATGGTAAGAAGTCGAAAAATCGAAGTCCATATAAAACCACAGCAGAATGCACGATCAGTACAACAGAGGCGCGAACCAAGGTATTAAGATTGTTGGCTACGGACATAATAGACAATCGATCACATGGCAATCAAGAGCCAATGACTTCATGTCTCTCCAGCCTTGATGTTCTGCCTTCATTCATTTGTCCATCAGTGAAATATGAGTTTTTTCAGTAGCTGCTACCTTGACGTGGTGGTCAGGCTCGCCTATCGTGATGACCCAGCCGAACTATATTGGCTGGGACATATGTTCCTGCAGGTTCTACCATGCCAGACAGGTCGATTGGAGAACAGTAAGACAAAGCAGCAACTCAAGGTCTGAGGGCGAAGTCGTACTGCTGACTATAGAGGGGTGTGACAGCAGTAAGGTGTTTCCCTCGGACAACCAGCATCTGCAGCGATGCTGCCTTCTCTCAAGGAAGGAAGGGGTTAGAAAAGGTTGACCCTAAAAATGTCACACCTCACCTTACCCCACGGATTTCCGTCTCCGGCGGTAAGGCATTTTGAAGAATGGAGCTATCACATTAAAAACCTCCCACAAAAAGGCCGTGCGCGACCGGCCTCAGGCAGTTGTCCCTTGAGCTCTGCGGTCACACTCTCAGGTCTTCAAGACCAACACTAATCCGATTTCCTTTTCAGGTTCCTCAAGAAATACCCTTCCACGGTGTAGGCAGCTGGGAAGTGACATCAGCCCTCATACCCGTAACAACACACGAGACCAAGTTGGTCACATTCAGATCCTTCCTACACCTCCTAATAACTCTCTTATCTCCACGACCAACCCTTCTCACGTCCCTTTATCACCTCGCCCTGTTAGTGCAAACGATTCGAATACGCGGAATGTTTTTCCCGGTCTCCTGAAACCACGCTCTAAACTACACGTAGGAGCTTTCAACGTCGGAACACTGTGCCAAATAGGACAACAGGCTTTCTTAGCTAAGACTTTAGAATCTCGCTCCATCGATGTGCGCTGCGTATCCGAAACGCGCACACAGGATCCTAGTAGTGTCATTAACTTGACCGCACCATGTCAAAGTAACGGACCAACTCGATTTACGCTTCGTGTATCTGGAAGCCCTGATGCTGCTTCTCGTGGCCTCGCTGGCGTAGGTATAGCATTCAGACGCCCCACAATGGTAGTATTTCTCGACCTTAAGGCGGCATTTGACTCTGTTAATCCTGAGGTTCTGTGGCAGAGTTTGTCACTGGAAGGAGTACCAAAGGAGTAAATTAACCTTATATAGGCTCTCTACTCGAACACAACTGGTCGAGTGAGAGCTTATGGCGAACTGTCACCAGAACTGATTACCTCAAGTGGTGTTCGCCAGGGCTATGTACTCTCTCCATTCTTGTTTAACTTTGTCGTTGACGTGCCTTTAGGAATAACACTTGCCACATCTGACTTTCCAGGGGTTGAACTTCTACCTAAAGATTCACTTGTTGAGTATGCCGATGACATAGTTCTGTTTAGTGAAGACGCTTACAAAATGCAGAGTCTGCTGAACACTCTAAGCAACAATGCAAGCATGTTCGGGATGCGATTCTCTCCCTTGAAATGCAAAATGTTGCTCCAGGATTGTGTTGCATCGGCACCCGAACTAATGATAGGGAGTGAAGTAGTTGAGCGTGTCGACCGCTTCACTTATCTTGGAAGTCTCATCAGCCCTTGTGGTCTGGTGTGTGACGAAATCTCAGCACGGATACAGAAGGCTCGACTAGCTTTTGCCGACTTGAGTCACTTGTGGCGTAGGCGAGATATCCGTCTATCAAGCAAAGGACGTGTTTACTGCGCAGCAGTTCGTTCCGTCCTATTTTATGGCAGTGAAACATGGCCGGCAAGAGTATTTGATCATAGATGTCTTCGAAGCATTGCTCGTATATCCTGGGACCTCCGAGTAAGTAATGCAGTTGTTAAGAAACGGGTACTAGGTAAGGATGGCAAATCAATTGATGAAGTAGTGAAACTCCATGCGCATGCCCGACTGCCCCGACGTGAGATGTTTTCTGGTGTAGAAGTAGGTTGGAAGAAAGCTAGGGGCGGCCAGAGCAAAACATGGCACAAATCCATGAAGTCACTGACAAGTGGACTAAGCCATGTTGGTAGGTGTAGACTACCTGGTTGGGGACCGCGAGATGATAGCAACCGATGGTTAGAGACCTTGAGTGACATGGCTCAAAATCGTTTGCAATGGCACAGGTGCATCCACTCTCTGTGTTCTCTCAAACTCTAATCTTCTGTATTCTTCATGTCCTTTATTTTCCTTTCAAATTTATTTCACTGGATTATACTCCTTAAATAACATCATCAAACCCTAATGTTCCCTATCACTACTTCTACCACTACGGGATGTGAATCGATAACTGAATCTCTGTGCTAATATAGTATGGGAACTCGAAATGATATGCGTGCGCACGAAGTTCCACGTTGTTACTGACTGACTTTTCAGTATGTCCAATATTTGAGTAACCCTTTCGGGATTGGGAGGGTCTTTCACTGTCATTCTCTTGTCGCTAGTTTTTACCACCAATCAGAACAACGGTATTGTGAAGTGCAGACATATTTTACATATTAAATTCTACAGCTTACGATCCATAAATTCATTGTTACTGATGTAGATTGTGCGTTCTCTCGAACCGTTATAAGGACCCAGTTAGATTTTTCCAGTCCCACATAGTTCTTCCATAAAATCTAATGCTACAAGGTTAGGGTCTGCTTCAGGATTAAGGGAGCGTTTAAAGAAATGGTCGAATCGATTGTTACATACAATGCATATGGGGTGTTAATGACAACCAGTTTGCTCCGTTGTGGTAAGAAGTGGCTTTTTTACCATTCTAAACGTTTAGAGTATACCAAGGTGTTTCTAATGCTGATTGTATGTGGCATTCTGTTTTTACGCAAAAGCCTGAAAATCGCGTTTTCGGTCCCGATTAGTTGGTTTCAATACTATGCTTTTACCAAGAATCCTATTTTTACAGTTTACTTTTAATATTAACACATTGATATGTTTAAGGCAATCGTAACTAAAAACGGATGCAAGAACAGATCGAAGTCCTACCTGTTTAAGTTAGTAGTTTACGGTAATCTACCTTATGCTCTGCAGTAGTTACGGGAAAATCAGAATAGTACGCCCATTCAGTTCATTGATGAAGATATTGAACAACGACTATTAAATAAATATCTAGAAC